CACTTCTTACAGCCCTTGAACGGAACTCAGTAACAAATACACTTCAGAGAGTCTGGGAAGTGTAGCTTTAGGTGAGCGTACACACTCTCAGGTAAAACGCCATCACCATGTTGAAATCACATTGCTACAGCAGTCCCTTCCTCTCCTCCGGACTCCTCCTGCTATGCGCCTGCTTAAACGGCCCTGTCCAGAGAGGACTTCCTGGACCACCCTATCGACAACAGCACGCTGGTCACTCTCTGGCCCTTCCTGTACTTTATTTTTCTCCCTCGTACTTATCAGTGCTTGTCATTACACTTTATTTTTATTTATTATCTGTACCCACACCACAGTTCATAAAACCAGAGACTTTGTCTCTTGTTCACTGCTATATACCTGACATCCAATACTCAATAATATTTTTTTGTTTGAATGAATGATAAATGAGCAATGTTCTAACTTGTTTCCCTCCCTGTAGTATTGGGGGGAAAAAACCCCTAGGTATAAAAGAGTTTGTTTATCTTAACCAGCACCAGAATTCATCTTAGGAAAGGAAGAAACTCTATCTTCTTGGGGTACTGGATAAAACCTAACATCTAATATTTGAGTAAAATTTCACTTCATGACCCAGAGAGTGGAGGTAAGGAGAAAATAGAAGACAAAAACCTTCAAAATGTCAGAAATCACCCTGAGTGTGACCTGACATTTCATTCACATCTACTACACTGACAAATACTTGTGCAAGTGGATTGTGTGATGCTTAAAAAGGAGCTGGGGTTTCCACCTGGGCAGACATGGAGAAGTCCAGAAATGGCAGATGAGGAAACATGCACCCAAGAACCAGAAGAGACCAGAAAATGCAAGTCCTTCTAAACTTCCAATATTCCTGGAGTTTCCTGGGCGGCAGTACACGGGGAGTGAACAGAATTTACCTTGTGTGTGAACACTATATATGACTGATTGCTGCTTCATCACTCAGCTACACAGGAGTTCCTAGTACGCTGCTCCACGAACATCACTGATAAACTGCCACAGGGACTTGGGCTGTCAGAGATTAGAATCACAGATTCATATGATTTTCCTCCCAAACATTTCTTGTGAAAGTGAGCACTGTTCTTCCCCATTATCTCAGAGGGGATACGGAAAAGACGGCAACTTCAGGCTTTAGGCACCCACTTCCGGGTGCAACTAAGGTGGGGTTCAGTGTGATCTCTGCCTGCCTCTCTGCCCAATCCATTTTACCTTGGCAGTGCGCTTTTCTCCTACCACCTTTCATATTAAGCCTAGAGTTAAATTTTTATTAAGGTATAAGAGTAATTACACAAAACCCTTGGTTTTATAAAGTTGTCTTAAGAGTTAAATTTTAGGAAGGATAGTGAGTATAAAAAGTATTAGAGGAGTTCTGGGCATAAATCTATATACTGTTAATGATAATTCTTAAAGAGTGGCACTTTCATGGCAAATTACATGTTCCCAGATATCTGTTGCAGAGCATAAACTACTCCAAAACTTAGTGACATAAAACAAGTGGATGTATCATTATATTGTTTTTCTTTCTCCTCGTGTGGTTAAAATACTCGTAGAACCCTAGGACTACTTCTTACTCAACCCAGGCTTCCAAAGGCTTTTGAACACCAGTACAGCAGCCCAGAGGAAAGCACGTATGGAGCAGCTAGCTTGGCTCTTTTAGCTACCGGGAACAAGGACTTTCTTTTCTTCAGGCTCATCATCCCAGGATTCCTATCACTGTTGTGTAGAAAGATCAAGAATGCCAGGTTTACTGTGTGGGCCATTGAACCACCTCTGGTTTAAGAATTATAGTAAACACTTAAAGAAGCCTCTGTGGTTCACAATAGGAAACCACATAGGTCTTTGGACAAGGGCCCCAGCCAGTCATAAAGCAGATGTTTTCCTCAAGTGACCTCTGCTTATAGGACTTAATACTGGAAGTAATAATAACGTGGCTGGTGGCCAGCTAAAGGATTGAAGCTTGCTGCCCTTCAAGTTTGCATCACAGTCTATTTCTCAGTTCCAACCTTCTACAGGGCAGGAGGGCCCCTGTTACATCGCTCCTCAGAGTTCCCATGATGATAGGGCTGTTCAGCAAAGCCAGATGCAACACAATGTCAAAATATGCACTAATGAGTCGTTCACTTCTACATATAATTTCCAAAGGACATACTCTAAATCCACAAAAATGATTACCTCCAATGAGAGGGGAAAGGGAATGGAATGGAAATGACCATAGAATGTGGTGGAGGGGAGAACCAAAGATTTCCAGGATCTACCCTTAAGAGCTCCTGCTTCTAGTCCCTTGGAATCCTGACGCAGTCTATAAAGTCTGATTTCCCTACTAGAAAGATCAAGTGGAGAGTTCCTGGAGGGTAACAGATGGCGGAGTCAGCCCAGCAGAGGAAGCAGACCTGAATGCGGCCATGTTGGGTCCCCATTCCAAACTACAGCAGAATGAACCTGCTGAGTGGAGATAACTCAACCAGCAGAGCCCTGCCACACCAATCTCAGAATCATGAGTAAGGAAAACTACTGCTGCTGAAGCCACTGAGCTGCAGGCTCATTTGTTATACAATAATTTGTTTGATATATTATTTTTGCTAGTCAAAACTAGTTTTTTAAAAAATAAACTCGTAAACAAGCCTTTCTTCTTGTTTAGAGAACATTTGTCTTTTGTCCACCTCACCCCCCATGTCTCTAGTGTCTAATGTCTCTAATGTGTGCAATCATCCAGCTGATGATACAATATCCAACAATGCCATGCCAAATCAGTGCAAATCAATGCCAAATCAGGGCAAGTGATTATAATGTGAAATGGCAAATCTTGCAATGTGTGTAGGAAATCATGACACTGATGAAGATAATGTTGGAGAAGCCCTTGAATCACAGACGACTCCTCCAACAAATGAGACTCTGCAGCTGGAACAGATAACATTTCGAAGAAGGGATCTCCACAGAGGATGGCACAATAAATGCTTCTAAGGGGAAAGATTTGAATGTCAAAATGTAAGAGAGGCTCTTGGAAAATTTATGAAGCCCTCAAATATTTTTGAAATAATGACACTTTCTATGATTTGCACATAGAAATCAAATATAAAAGGACATGATATCATGATACTGTGCAATTTTGTTAGAAAATTAGACTTCTCCAAATCAACACTTCATTCATCTTTTGTTCTAATATTTAACACATCACTGACCAAGTAAATTTTGTTAAATGTAAGGCAAATTGATTTTAATAATTCTTTTACTTAAAAAAAAAAAAAACAGAGTCCCAACCAAATCTTTTTATGTTTTTTTGGTCTCTATTTTTCAAGAATTCACTTTAAGTAGATTTGGCGATGCCAGTTACCTGAGGAAGCTGAAGGCCTCTATAAGTTCCTTTAATTCATCTTCCTAACTAGCAAGGATGCTCTTGAAGGGCAGGGTTTCGGCTTGTGCTTTGTGAAAATCCTCTGGATCCTGCGTATAGCACAGGGTGGGAATTCAATAAATGTGACAACAAAGGACCTGTTGATTGATGACCTTTCATAGAGATGTTCAGCTGAAGAATGACAATGCCCCACTATCAGTCTTTGGTCCAAAATGAGCTGGCATTGTTCTTCTTAAAGCTGTTCGTAGATGGCCTCTTACAAACTTCCTGCTGAAAACACTCTCAAAGCCTGGATTCATTTAAAACCAATCCAAGGATGGAAAGTTGTTTTAGGAAATAAGCCCCACATCCCAGGGGCTTGGATAGTGAGGGCCACATTTGAGAACGGGTGTGCCACTTCACTGATCCTTACCCGGACTTTGGAAATGTCAAACCCAGAAGCATTCGCCTGAGCAGCAGTTGGGTGCACTTCCAGGTGTGTGTCAGTGAATGCCAGGCAGGAAGAGGCATCTGAGAAAAATCTCTCAGCATGGATTCAAAGTGAGTTAAGACAAATCAGCATGGTAGGCATGGCAGTGTCTTAAGTCAACATCGGTAGAAGACAGGGTGTCCCCTTTCAATCTTAGGTCTCATAAAAACAAACCCAAGGGCCAGGAATTTAGCTCAGTGGCACGGCCACCTACCTCTCAAGTACAAGGTCCCAAGTTCTATCCCAGGTACCAACCCCCCCCCAAAAAAAAGCCTATGGCTGGGCTGTGGATTTAGCTCAGTGGTTTGCCCACCTGCTGGGCAAACTCAAGGACCGGAGTGCAATCCCTGGTTCCAAAAAAAAAAACCTATGGTTAAAATAAATGGTTATTCAAAACTGTTCCATCTTTAAATGTTCAAATGGGAAGGGGAACAAGGCAGTGGGGGGAGAGAAGAAAGAGGAAAGAAAACTAGAATAGAAGAGAAAAAATGGAAACCAAGCTTTTGTAGATAAGGAAGGGAGGAGGGGTTGAAGGGAGGGGAGGGGAATGGGGAAAAAGGAAGAATCGGGATGTATTATGTACAGGTTCAAAGTCCCTATGATGAATGTGATCATTATGCACATCTAAAGCATACCAATAAAATTAATTTTAAAAAATAAAAAATATCATTTATTTAAAAATGTTCCATCTTTTACCTGGAAACAGTGCATAACGTTACTTATTTAACATCCCTGAAGTTCAGTCTCTTTCAACTTATTCTGCATCCCCTACTGCATGAGTAATAGGGTAGCAAGAAGAAATGAGCTGTTTCCTTCTATTAACAGTTACTTCCACTTCTCTGCAAATGAGAAACCAACACTACAATCCAGGCTGCAAGAACCCTTCAACCCTGCCCCTCCCAGGAGGGCACAGGGTGTTCTGCAACGTATCAGTCAGTTCTGGGGCAAATGCAAACAATACTTTCCGTTACAATAACTTGTATCCAGGAAAAAAAAAACAAAAAAAACAGGGTCCGTAGCGTAGCAGCCAGAGAAAAGTTTACTGGCTTGAGCCAATTGCAGCCTGTGGAGCTGGGCCAAGTTAGCATGTTTTTCTCCGCCTCTGGATGAAGTCATGATTGAAATATGGCATTGAACTTATTTTAAAAAGGGAAGGGGAGTCGGAAAGGCCAGCAACCCTGCAGCAGAGGGCTCCGTGCTGTGGAGAACGTGGTTAGGAAGTGTATGCGCGAGCTTGTCAGCGCTGAGTGGTTCTCAGCCCGCTGACCTTCGCCTCCCACTGGGTGGAGTAGGGCCTTTAAGAGCAGTTGGAATGCAGCTCCCCTGAGCAGCTTAGCCAGTTGTTGCCTGTCTGAACCTCTGCCAGTCCTGGGAGCAGCGCTCAGACCTCAACCTGCAGGCCTCCTTCTGCACCCTCTCCTCTGCCCCTCCGGCCCCCGCAAGATCAGCCACCGGGGAGGAGGCCGTGTCACCTGTCCAGCTATGGGAGAGGACGCCACCCAGGCCGAAAGGTTCCAGCACCCGAGCTCTGACGCACGCCAGGAGAAGCCCTCGAGCCCCAGCCCCATGCCCTCCTCCACGCCGAGCCTGAGCCTGAACCTGGGGTGCCCGGAAGAGGCCATCCGGGACAACTCGCAGGTGAACGCCGTCACGGTGCACACGCTGCTGGACAAGCTGGTGACCATGCTGGACGCCGTGCAGGAGAACCAGCACAAGATGGAGCAGCGGCAGGTCGGCCTGGAAGGCTCGGTGAAGGGCATCCAGAGCGACCTCGCCAAGCTGTCCAAGTACCAGGCCTCCACCAGCAGCACGGTGGGCAAGCTGCTGGAGAAGTCGCGCAAGGTGAGCGCGCACACGCGAGCCGTCCGGGAGCGCATGGAGCGGCAGAGCGTGCAGGTGAGGAGACTGGAGAGCAACCACGCCCAGCTCCTGCGACGCAACCACTTCAAAGTGCTCATCTTCCAGGTCAGTGTCCCCTGCCTGCCCACACGCATGCCCTCTTCCAGCTTCCCATCTGCCCTGCCTGTCACGGGAGCGCACACACCAGGCATTGTCCTTTCTTCCTGCAGCCACGAGTGTGAAATAGACACACAGCTGTGCAAATTGCCCCGGCCACTGAGGCCTAGGCCGAGGCAGGTGCCCCTGGACCAGCAGACCCGGGTCCTTTCCCAGGGAGCACCTGCAGGCACTTCGAACTGGCTGGAGGATGTGCGGGGTGGGGGGGTCCCCACCCTAGCGAAAGGCGGTGCCTCTGCATTAGGAACTGGGGCTCTGGTCAAAGCTATTAGCCGGACGGGACAGCAAATTAATTCAGTGGCTTTTTATTAACTCTTTGCGGAAATGAGAATCACAGGAGTTTTTTTTGTTTTGTCTTAACCAAGAAGTCAGACTCATAACTGTTTCAACTGTGCCTTTTTCCAAAGGCCACTGACGTTTGGGCACCAGCCAAATGGAGGACTGATTCCATTAGGGTTGAATTAGCTCTGTTCTTTAAGACTCTTTTGGGGAAAGCAGCCTTCCTGAGTTCTTTTCTAGCAAATGATGCACTGAAAATGCAGAGCATAACTCTTTACAAACACACTAGAAATGCCTCTCCTTGCTCAGAGAGACCACAACTGTAAAGCAAAATCAAAGGAGTGTTATCAGTTACAATCACAAAGGCCGGTCTTGAATGTTTTCTCCTTCAAAAGGTTGCCTCGGAATAAAAGGGCCACTTTATTTTTTTTAATGCATCAATGATGCAGTTAATGTAGCAAGAGGCTATTTGGGGACAGGGAGGCTTCGTGGGGCTGCTGTTCTGCCAAGTGGTGGGCATTTGTGACTCCAAGGGCAGCCCTGCCTGATGCTGGAAGCCCTTCCGCCCAGAGGAACCCAGCCAGGCCAGGGTCCAGGAAGCGCTGCCATCCTGCCTGCCGCAGGGCTGTCTCCTTGGGATCGCGTGAACAGGGGAGGATTTCAAAGCCATGGAGGGGAGAGGCTATAACCAAATGTTTGATTGTGAAAGGCGCACAGGGCAAGCTTTCATCTCCCAAGAGAGACTCTGAGATCGGGATTTAAATGGAGGGAGCCTTCTTTTTCTAAATGGATCCACTCTGCCAACTTGGAAGCTGGGCCTTCCTAGCCCCATAAAAGGAAAGACTCTTCTCCCTGCTTCCTTGTCACCCCCACACTGCACTCGAGTGTTAGGAAGGTTTGGGCAGCCAGTGTTCTCCTATACATTGCAGGCTTTGACAGCCAGGAAACTTTCTAGCCTTTAATGCAAATACAATAGCTTTTCATGCACCAGATGCACTCAAAACAGATACAGGGAAGCCATATGAGATCCTTACTTTATAAGCCTAAAAGATATTAGAAACCCCAGCTCTCAAGCCATTTCACAATTAAATAATGATCTCCAAACAAAGCCAAACATGCACGGACCTGCTTAAATCTGAGTTGCCAAAGGAAATTTCCCCCCTTTCAGTATGAATTAGGGAAATTATCTCTGGTCTCATCCTTCAGTTGAGAAGAGAGAAAAAAAGCATTTATCTAATCAAGGAGAATCACAGTTTGTCAGGATTGGGTTTCTTTTTGTTTTGCCATAGATGTTCTGCAGATGTAGGGGGCGGGGTGGGGAGGAAGTGTGACAAGAACCTCAAGAGAACTGTGAATCTGACATTTAAAAAAAACAGCTACTGGGGAACGTGAGGGCAGGTGCTGTTCTGGAGGGTCTCTTGCAGTCACCTGTTTTGTCACATTGGATTGACAGGTGTGAAATCACAGCCAGAAATGGTGGGAATTCTCTACACAGTGAGAAAAAAGCTGAACTGATGCTCAAGTCCAAGGGAAGCTAAGAGAATCCCAATCAAAATGTTCAGTCTGCATCCGGGGCCCTCACTGTCAGCCCTAGGGACACCTGGAAAAGCATATTAGGAGGCAGGGAACTAGAAGTGAGTACCTGGCTCATTCTTGAGTCATAGAAGATCCTTTACTCGCCAAAGAATATTAGAAATCTCAGCTCTCAAGGATTCACAGGATGATTGTTTAGAAAAACAAATGCAAGCAGAGTCCTCAGTGGAAAGGTTGCTGTTTCTCTTCTTTCTCACACTAGAGATTTCAGTAGGGTAGTAATTATGCCCATCCCACAGATGCAACGCTAAGTTCTATAAGAGAGTGGTCCACACAATGTAGTGGTCATAGAGATAAATGTTGGAGTCACACAGGTACTGGTTCAAATCCTAGGTTCATCACTTGCCAACTATGTGACCTGGGACATATTTTGTAGCTTGTTCAACCTGTTTCCTCATCTATACACTGAAGATATTAAAAGCAAGAAACAATGAGCACTTAAGCCCTACATACATTGTTAAGCATCTTTCTCTGTGTTAACTCCTATATCCCCAATTTACAGATGAGGGTGCTCAAATTCAGAGAGGTTTATATTTTGCCTGCCTGAACTTATTTAGTAATCAAGTGCTGAAGCGGGGATTCAGATTCATGTTTAATTGGTTTCTGAGAATGTACTCTTAAACACCAATGCTTGCTTGCTCATCTCTCTAGTATTGGTAGGAACAAAGGAAATAACATATTTAAATAGCACAGGCTGGCATGGTGTAAGTGTACGATGAGTAGAATCTAAACCTGAAGGTCACTGGCTCAGAGAGGAGGCTACATTTGTACTTGGATAGAAATGGACTCGTGCCTTGGTTCACAAACTTAATTCTTTCCACAATTCTGGTCACAAACCGAGTTGGACAAGAACTGAGTCAAATTTCCCCATAACGTCAACATTGAACCTAACCATTGGATTTGATTTGGTTCATGGAAAGAATGAAGTTCGTGAACCCAGGTTCCACTGTATGGCTCTTGGGTCAAAACTGACCCCATTTTCAGAGGATCTTAAAAAAGCAATGCTTATGCCTTTTTAGTTGGGACTTATTAAAGCCTATTACCACCATATATCAGATGTGTGCTACCATGTCACAATCAGCATTGTTGTCTCATCTCCACCAAAGGGAAGGACTCTGGCCCAAGGACCTTCCTTAAGCAGTCCCTTCCAGTAGCAGCACAGTCCTCCCTGTGTGACAGAGGCCACTGTCCTAGAGCTGCAGGGACTGGCGAGGACAGGAAGTCATCGGGAACTCTTTGCATCTTTGATAGTCACTTCCATCCCACTTGTATTCTGAGCTGGGATTCCCCTTACAAAATCCACTGACTTTCTATTTTAAGACCAGAAAAGTGTGCAAAAATAAGAGAGATAAGAAAAGCTGTCCCCTGTCTTGAGCATACTTAATACTGTAGCACTGAGAAAATTACATTTCCATTTTGTGAAGTCCTGTCATGTCCTCTAAAATCTACAGGGGTATTTGTGTGTGTGTGTGTGTGTGTGTGTGTGTGTGTGTGTGTTGGTTTGTTGGCTGATGGGTTGACTAGATAGTTACATATTTGCATTTTTTTTCCAAAATGCAGTTTGTAACTTGTTCTTAATTTGTCCTACTTGAAACATGTCATGGGTTTATTTATTGAAATCTGTGCTGAACTTTGCAACATTGCTGTAGCTGTTAAGCATCTAATTCCTTGGCTATTACCTCAAATTATAACCAGTAGCATCTAAAACTGGGGAAACATTCATCTCCCTTTCAAAAATTAAATAAATTTTTGGAGTCCTAGTTGAACTCACCAGCTTTCTGTTTTAATTGTTTTGGTAACACCTTCAAATCAATGTTTGAATTCAAACTGCTGAGATACAACCCAGCATAAATGAAGTAAGACTCATAGGCATTGCTTATCAAAAAGCAAATGCTAAAGAAAGACAAGCACTAATACTTTGCCTGTGAGCCCAGCTATCTTTTACCAAAAAAATGGAATTTATAGAGAACATCAGTGAATTTACAGCTAAGAGGAGATTTTCTCCAGTGGTTCAAGAGCTTCAAATTTCCCTGGGAGCTGGCGCAGAAGGTGTGGTGTCCACTTCTGTCCTCTTAGGGTTCTAATAATGATTATTTGAAAAAGCAGTCTGGGAATAATTTCAAATCCAGAGACCAAAATGAGACTCCTCATGGACTGCTAACGTTTTCCTCCACGTAAAAATTGTGAATTGGGCAAAAAAGTACAAAGGTTAGATATTTGCAGTGGGTACATCTTGGGGAATTGGGCCCATAAATGTGTTCAAATATTCATCATTTGGGTTCCTTCGATGAAAGCAGAATTTTAGAAAAGTGCTAAAAGTGTAATCTCTTTGGACTGTTTTAAAATTGATTTTTAAAAGACTGTTCTTTTTTTCAAAGCCACTACTTTAAAAACTGTGAAATTAGTATAGGCTTGAAAAAAATGGAGATGTGGACGATCACATGTGTCTTCATATGCCAGCTGGCCATATTTGTATCACATTGATCAACACTGGCATCATGGGATATCCATCTTGATGCGTTACTTACCCAGTGCCTTTCGGTTTATCAGATAAACAAAATACTAGCTCTTATTGTTATTATTTACATTTACTGAATGTTAGCACTGCCCCCAAGGAATTTAAGCAAATAAATGATTACTGTTGATAGTTCTTTGAAAAAATCATTACATTCTCTCAATATATTAAAATAAACCCTACATTCCTTGTCAGATAAAACCCTTCCAAGCAAATGTTTCCCCTTGCATTATTTTGTCATCTAAATGTTTGAATTCAATGAATGAAAAATGTTCTCCAATGCAACTCAGGTTCTATAGTTTTGATTCTTGCATGAAAGAAACACATTTAACCTTAGTACATTGTGGAATCATTGCTGCGACTTGCTAATTATTTTTTATAGAGTTTAGGTTACTATCACACAATCAAGTATTTTAGAGGTGGAAAGCACCTTAATAATCATTTTGTTTAACTTTATTTTATATCAAAGAAGCAGAGGCCCTAAGAAACCTAGTGACAGCAAGGTTCCACTTTATTAATAATAGAAATTACAGAAAAGAATTGTGAAATGAATAGAAACAAACACTATAATCCCATTGTGGTAAAGTTCATGTTTCCTGGGTTTTCTATATCACATGTTAAATAATTCAGTGTGATTTGGTTTTTGTTTTGTTTTGTGTTTTTTATGTATAACAAAGAACACCTAACTAGTGTGATCTTAAAAAAAAAAAAAATTAAACCTTGATAACACTGAAAAGTAATGAAACTTTTAAATCCTCCAGAATGTGAAAGACTGCGCACGGATTATAACTAATGCATTTTATTCATATGACTTGCTGATTCCACCAACAGCCGCCCAGGGGTGCAGTGCTAATCAATGGCCTTATCCATTTGGCAATCTATGCCTCAGAAACACAAACTGAAGAACACCATCAATGTGTAAAAGAGACCTATAAATCAGTAAGTCAGCGGGCATGGTTCCATTTTAATAACTAATATTTAGAGGTTATTACATAAAATATTCCAGGGACACACATTTGTGGTCTTCATATCCCTCCAAGATGCCCCACAGCCCTGTGGGAATATGACATCCTTTGTTATTTTTGCCTAACAACAAGAACGATAAGTAAGTGGCAGGACAACAAACTGCTGGCTTCTCTCTCCTTATCCAAGCATGTGAGTGACTTACAGCTGATTTTCTTTTCTACCACTAGTCATGGAGTCTCTTTTTAACAAGTGTGCATTTCTCAATTTGTGCAGAGAAGATTCGCACCTGTAAGAAGGGTCCAGCACGCTGGTGGGTTTCTCTGCGCTGATATTTCCACCAATGCCTGGGACCATTAGTTCACAAAAGTTAATGTAATTTTTCCCTGGGATGTAGGGAAAAATACTACTGCTCCAGAGTTCTCTTCATTCCTCTCTCTTTCATGCCACAGCATATCCATCATATATGTCTGGAGTGCAGTGTTTAATTCTTCCCTCCTTTGAAAACCTCCTAAGGCACCTTGTGAAAGGTCAGAATCAGGAACACCTCTATCAGTGGAGGCCAAGGACCTTTTTGAAAACAGTGACAAATAACCAGCCACTCCTAGGGTCTTCTACTGGGTAGGACTGACCAAGGAAACAGTGCAGCCCACAGGGACTCCTAGTGGTGTTCTAGGGGCCACGAACCCTCAGTAGGTAAATTCCTAAGGAGCAGGATAAACAGTGGCAGAGGTAAGGATGTACACTCCGTCCTTCCACTTGTGAGTGCTGTCAGTCTTGGAGTCTGTAAGGCTGAGCAGGGCATGACAACAGGATACCGAAAGCAGAAGTGTCACCCCCTGTAGGTGTAAAATATCAAGGGGTGTGTGTGTGTGTGTGTGTGTGTGAGAGAGAGAGAGAGAGAGAGAGAGAGAGAGAGAGAGAGAGGGCTGCATACAAAGGCAGGGGAGAGGGCGGGTCCAGAGGATCCATTATCTGAACTTCTGACTTGAATTTCTACCACCGTGACACTTCTTCATATTCAAACACCATGCATAGGTCTGGCAAAAGAATAGAGATCTTGAAGAGCACCTGTATGTTTCTGTTTCTAAACAAACATTATGGAAAGGTAAAACCTCCATGTGCTTAGACAGTTACATGAACCTTTGTGAAAAGAAAGGGCTTGCCTTGAGAGTGGATCCACAAGAGGCCATAAAGTAAGCACTGTCAGGCAGACAGAACATAAAATACTGCCTGGGCAATGAAGATGGCAGCAGAAGCATAGCAGTTAGCCAGGAAGACAGATCCCACTGGCTTCCAGTTGCATACAGACACATCCCACTCTGGATTACCCCTGATCCCGCTGGGTTAGTTTCCGTGGTTGGCATCCAGGACTCTCGTGTAGATGTCCCTGGCGTTTTACAGAGAGTTCTCCTGGGTTCCCACCTCCCTTCCTCAGCTCCCTACCCTAACCTGCAGCCCTGCCCACCTCTGTGCACATCTGATCGCTGTCCTCACAGCTGTCCTCTAAGGCGAAATGTAAGAGAGACAAAAGTGCCTTAGACTCAACAGCAACTATACTTTGGTAATAGTACAATTCACCGTTAGGGAAAGCGGAAATATCAGTAGTTTAATCCTGTTAAAAGTGCAGTTAATAGACCTACCTTTTGTGAGGGTTGGAGAAAGGGAAATTATCAAATTTTTTACTTATGACTACCGTGAGAGCTACACTTTACAAAACGTACCTCCTCTCTGGTAACCAGCCCTTATTTTTACATTTTCTGCCTGAATTTCTGCTTTCCTTACTGAGGCCTTTTCATAACATTTCACTGCACTTTCGGTTTCTTCTTTTCTTGCAAGCAATCTGTAAAACCTTCCTGACCCTCTTGTCAAACCCCAGAAGAAAGTTGCTTCTGGACCAAGCCTCAGAGCCCGGTTAGTCCCGGAATGCATCCTTTTCAGTAATCCCCATCTATGGAGAACGAGGAAATCACCGCCCTCTTAGGCCTTGAGTTCTCCCGATTTCCCAGAGGCACTAGCACTCGGCAAACTTCCTTCCAGTACGGAACTCAGCCCGTTCTTCTGTAGCCCTCAAGCCTTCCTGGCAGAGGAACGTCTCCCTTCCGGCCACCCTGGGAGCTGCTTAGACATCCGCCCTGCCCAGCGAGCGCTCACTGCACAGGCAGCTGCTGAGCTGCAGATGTTCAGGCTCAGTGGAGAACAAGAGAGAGAAGCGCCCACCCTCATGGGGCTTCCCTTCTCGCGAGACAGCTGCACCCTCCACTTGAGCGGGAGCAAGCTGCTCTGCGCCAAGCCCCTCGTGAACGACTCCTGGGCACCCCGCGCTCCTGTCATTGTTTGGCTTCGTCCTTCATACCGTACTGCGAATCCTTTCCATGACGTTTGAAAGAGAATATGTAATAACTTCACTCGAGTGTGGACTCACTTGGCCCACACCTTCTGTGTTTTCACCTCTGCTCAAGACTTTCTCCTTTGCTTTCAGCAGTTCGTGGAAAGGGTTCAATACTCGTGTGGTATAAAGGGGGAGACAGAGGCTGTCTGCCTTCAGAGGCCCATGGCATGCGGTGGTTAAGGGGGATTTTGAAAGCGTCTCTATCATAGCCAAACTTTGTTCATTTAGACTTTGAGTCAAAAAATTAAAATACAGTCACACTCTTACAGCATACATTTTATTGTAACCCAGTCTTACAACTTTTCATCAGTTGATCAAAATTGCACAGTGAGACCAGAAGTTCTCACCATTAACATGAGCTTTGCATGCAGTTTAGATCCCAGATGGATTTTTCGGTACACTAAGTCTGGTTACTCTTCAAACCGAAAGTGTCCCGGGCAGCCCAAGCTGTGCCCGGGTAACCTTCAGGCTCTGGTTACAGCAGGGTGGCCGGCCAGATTCCGGGGAGCTGGGCCCCCTCTGCCAAGGGTGGGAGCCCCACTGTTCCTGGAGTGCATTGGAAAGCTGCTAATCCAGGTCAAACCCTCCAGTTCAGATCTGGAGGAAACTGAGACCCAAGGAGATTAAGTCATTTGCTGAAGTTGCCTGGCCATTTCAACTCAGGCATCCTGCCACACGTGCAGTCCTGCACGGCTTCATCCAGTGGCAATGTGCAGGCACTTTGCTGACGGGCTTGGGTGCTCAGCCGTGTGCCCCAGGTCTGTACAGACTCAAATCTCAGCAGCGGGCCATGCTGTAGGGCCATCCCCCTGGAAGTCTGGAGGCAGGTTCTCGGGCCCTGCTTCCTGAGATGCTGCCCAGGGCCATCCTTGCCTGTGTGAGGGCTGGGAGAGGAGGCGGCAGGGCAGAGGGAAGAGGGGCAGCACCTGAGCATCTCACTGCGCTGGAGCTGGGGCCCCCAGCGGTTGTCCCTAGGGAACCTCTGCTGAGCAACAGGGGACTCCTACCCCGGGCTGCTGGCATGTCCCTCTCACACCTTTCAAAGTGGCCCCAACATCTCACCCCCCTTGTTGACTCCCACAGAGGAGACCCTAAGTGTCAAGGCTCGAGCTGCCCCAGGAAGGCAAGCCCTGCTCCTCCTGCTCAAACTGACATCAGCAAACTGAGTGTGCGCCTCCTGGCCCATGTGCAGTTGGAGAGGGAACCTGACCAGCCTTCCGTGCACCTGCACCTGAAGACTTCTCTATTTTCCCTTTCATCTTGCAACCTGACCTTCAGGCTCTACTGCAGTGAGGCTCGGGCAGGATGTGCGCCCTCTGGTCCTCCTGCCCTCTGGCCTGGGAGGACCGGAAGGAGAGAGCCTCTGGGTTCACGGCAGAGTAACTTACTTTAGCTCCTTTATCTGCGGCTTCCTGGCCTGAGGCACAGCTCACTTCCCCCTGCCTGTCACTGATAGGGCCTTGGCCAGCTGCCCCTCCATACTGCTTGACCCAGCCTTAGGGACGGCCTTGACCAGTTTCGAATGGATGCTTCCCATTCTAGAGAGCCAAAGCCACAAATGCCAGCAGCTCAGGCCTCTTTGCAGCCGCGCCATTAACGCCAACCCTCCGTGGCCATCTTTGCAGGAAGAACATGAGATCCCTGCCAGCGTGTTTGTGAAGGAGCCGGCCTCGGGCGCCGCGGAAGCCGAGGGCGAGCGGCGGTCCCTGGAGGCTACGCTGCACTCGGTGGACCTGTCCTCCTCGGAGGACGAGGCGGCCCGCGACGAGCAGGTGGCGGAGGACGCTGCGGCGGAGAAGACTGAAGAGAGCAGGGCCGAGAAACTCAAGCGCTCCAGCCTGCGGAAGGTGGACAGCCTCAAGAAAGCATTTTCCCGCCAGAACATCGAGAAGAAGATGACCAAGCTGGGCACCAAGATCGTCTCGGCGGAAAGGAGGGAGAAGATGAAGAAATCGCTCGCCTCCAACCATCCGAAGACGCCCCCGGGGGGCAAAAGTTCTCCCTTCAAGGTTTCTCCCCTCACCTTCGGGAGAAAGAAAGTGCGCGAGGGGGAGAGCGGAACGGAGAGGGAGGCCGCGCTGGAGGAGGAGGGGGAGGGACAGGGGGAGGGACAGGGGGAGGGGGAGGGACCGGGGGAGGGGGAGGGCTCCCCCACCGAGGGTCTGGCCTGGCCAGAGGCCGAGCGGGCGCCCAGGAGGGGCAGCGCGAGCCTGAGCAGCACGGAGGACGAGGGCAACCTAGTGCTGGCCCCAGAGGCCCCAGAGGCCCCGGAGGCCGCGCTGCAGCCGGGCCGCAGCGCCTGAGGGACAGCGCCCGGCCACGCAGAGACCCGGGCCTCCCCGCAGCTCTCCTCCAAGACTGCGGAAGGGAGCGGCGTCAGACTGGGTCCTGTACGCTGGCCCGGCCGGCCTGGAGGCCCAGGACAGCAGCGTGCAATGTGGTTCGCTTTCGGCTCATTCCCAGTCGGGTGCGGTGACTGGATTTCTGTGGTCCTCCGTGAAGCTGATCATTGTTTTCCAAGTGCGAGATTATATAACATGCATCAATGTGCAAGGTAAAAGCGTAGCTGCAGCCCTAAGAAGGAAACATTTGCAAAAGGTGGAAGGGGACGTTCAGCGGGTTGTACTGTTGACAGAAATCCGCAGCTTTACTGTGGGTGAAGGACAAGTTGAGAGACAGTGATGTCAGCCAGTGATGCAGGGGAGGGAGTCAGGTCGGGTTTTAGAAGGAAAAAAGGAAGACACGTTGAAAATAAGAGAGGTGGGAAGCAACAATGGCAAAGGCAGCGAAGGGAAAGAGAAGTAGGAGATTAAAAGTGAAATATTGACAGTATTAAGCTTAATTATTTTACTCTTTAAATAACAATACTAAAGAAGTTCCTATATCCTGGAGTAACATGTTCTGTCTTCACAATGTTTTTATTTTCTAATATTTTTAAATAGATAACATTTCATAGTGCTAAAACTGGGTGTTTTTCCCTTCATAAATAAAAGGCATTTCAAATATTTCTCTAAAGAAATTCAGAAGGATGTTGTCTCTTTAACATTGGGATGAATAGAAATCTTAAAAAATAATTAATATGTTTATCTTTTGTAGGAAGTTGGATCATGGTATTCTTTCATTTCTCCCAAATTTGGAATAACCTTTACACTCCAAATAACATGATAGAAGTTTATAAGATGGTGAAATACAAGGCTTGGGAAGGGGAAGGAGGCTATTTCTTTTCTTTTCTGTACATAATAGTAATTTTATTTGGGGCCATATTTTATTGATGCATTAATTTCACTGAATAGTAACATGTTTCTTAACTTCTTAAAGCATACTAGTGTTTTATGTATGTGTACACATTCATTCAGACAGGGTAGTTTGTACTGCTGTCTAACATTACACTAAAATATTGCTGTATCTATTTTTAATTACAAGATGCTAATGTTTGGTTAATTTATAGTTTAAAGATAGTGGACCCAGAGAGCAAATTCTCTACCTTTAGAAGGTACCACTGTAAGTAATCTTATGAGTAGAGGTTACCAAGACAGCATTAACAAACTATGCTTGGTTTTTAATCAAAGGGATAGTAGGATTAACAAAATATATGGATGGTATAACCTACTCAGCTATGTCCTTTCTTTGCAATAATGTTACCCAAATATTGAATTGTTGAATTAACAATGGCTGTGTTAAAGGAGATTAAATAAACTGAAAAATAAAAAAGTCTACTACAACATAGTTTTTGGCAGAACAATTTTACAGCAAGCAGGAGGAATTGATTTTTAAACTCTCTTCCACATGTAGAAGTAACGTTGATTGCTTCAGTCTTGATTTCCCCTATTAACTCTGCATTTTTCCTTGATCTCATTTAGAAATCCAACTCTCATTCCTCCAGTCTAACTTTCTTGACATCACCTGGCCGGTTCTGGAGATCATCTGAATTTATTGCAGTAGCTTGATGAATCTGATGGTTCCATCTGCATTTTTATTGAATGGTAGCTGAGCTTATAGTACTTTAAATGGTCCTGCGAATGTGAATTTACTGAGCTCCACATTCGATTTATCCATTCAGACCAAGCTTTGTCTTTCGGTGTGCCGAAGACTGGGCAGAAGACTTAATTTCTCCGTGGGCCCGCATGTGCCTGTTTAACCTCTCCAGAGTTGCTGTCACTTCTTCTGCTGAGGAGTTGGGGGAATCCAGAGCTAATGTAATGCTTACATTCCCTCTTCAAAAATGCCTTTTCGATTTGTTCTTATAAACTAGCTGCTTGTCAGTGGAAAACAGCACTCTGGCATCTTTCTAAATTTTACTGAAAATCACATTTTATTCTGTGTTCCACATTTGCACCATTAAAGTCCTAAGCAATAAAACAGAGAATTAAGCCAGGTAATTGTTGGGAAACACATACTGCAGGGACTAGCGAGAGCAGCCGTTGTGAAGACGGAAGCCATTTATTCTGGGTTTGCTGAATTATTTGCATACTGGTGAGTATTGCTGAATTATTTGCATACTGATGAGTCTGCCAAGTCCCCAAATTAGATATGTCTTGTTCCCCCCATCCAATAACCCATACCTACCTTTATGTACCCAGAGCTCAAGAACTCAATGAGTTTAGGGACCGAGATCCATATCTGGGAAATATAATTCAGAAGTAAGAAGCGTCTATTACATGGAGCACAGATCTCACAGAAATATGGCAAAAATGTCATTTTTCTACAGGGTTTGTTTTTAAAAATACATAGATAAATATTTCAACAAAGAATATTTCTCTCTTTCTGCTTAGGAATCCATATGGCTGAATTACTAGCTCTTTTTTTATATATGAAAATAAAAAGACCCATGCTAAACTCAGTTCTGCACAAACCAAAGAATTTTTCACTGTTTATTTTATGATGAAAGCCCCTAAATGCTTCTGCTTTTAGCAGTACCCATCCAAAGAGCAAAGTCTGAGCCTCATGTGGTTCTACCAGAAGTTGCTTCAACCCAGCCACCCTGGCAGTGTAAGTAGAGGTTATAATGAAAGTTATTTCCTACATTAAGACACTAATGCCTGAACCTCGTTAATTCCAGCTCAGAAGTTTGTTTACTGCCCTACAGCCCAATTCTAAGTGATTTTATATTGGAGATTGGGAGTATGAAGAATGGAGGTACAGACAGCAGTCATTATTAAGAGTTCCATAGCAACCACCCGTCTTTCCCTAAAAACCAAGACTCTGACACTGCAAAACAAGTTGCAGATGAAATTGGCATTGTGACCTTTGTATTCTGGTTGATCTGGGTGTCTACATAAAGTCTTCTGCAGCCAGGAACTCATTCCTAAAGGGAACAGGCAGTAACACACTGTAATATAGACTTTCTTATTTTCATTTTAACCATTGCATTATCCTGCAGTATTGGAAACTCTGAAATCATTTTTAACTCCCCATATTAACTGCCTCATCTAAGAAGTCACACCTTTAGTGAAACAGCTTGATGTTCATATATTTATACATTTTCCACTGTAAAAATCAATATGTTAAATATTTATGGAGCAAAACAACCTTTACTCACTCCTATTTGCTAAAATTTTTAGTGTTCAAAGCAGTAAGACAGACACAGGAAGGCGAACCAATATTTTGGATTGGATCCTTTACGGCAAGCTAGTGACTCTAATGGCCAGCAATGTACATACCTCAAGCATTATCTCATTTAATTATACAGGATCCTATCAGGACACTGCTATTTGTACTTCAATCCAATATGGTAAGAACCTGAGACTTTTGAAGTTCATGTACTCCAATCAGTAAGCACTCCAGGAAAGTAGCCACTTGTAGTTCTATTCATGTTATACTTTAAATAAAGTCTTACATCTTGGTATCCACTGGGAAATGGTTCTACCAACTCATATCAGGAAAAGACACACTGCCATTAGTTTCCCTCAAAATGCTCTTTCTTTGAACACACTTATCCCACTGTTCTCCTCACTTTCTGAAGCAGTTCTGGAAGTCCTGACATCATTAGTTGCACTGTTGTGGCTGCCTCCATGTCCTGGTTTGACTCAAGACGTTTACCCTTCCTGGTCATTTTGACTTTGGGTAAAAGCCAGAAGTCGTGGGAAACTAATATTGATTATGCCCCCAAACAGGCTGTGAGCAAAGCAGGCTGTGAAGTTAACCCCACAATGGGCTTGTTTATAGAAGTGAGCCTGGCCAAAGCCTATGTGCTGAGGTCAGAGTAACTTGCACCCAACTAAACAACTAAACAACTCGCACCCATTCCCACAACTAAAACCTTCTGACTAGGACAGTGTTCTAATTACAACCATATATTTTGTCTATTCACTTCCTAATTTGGGAATGCTTTGTCTTGTCCTTTAGGAGCCTTGTTTACATTAATTTCCATAGAAATCCATGACTGCGCATTTTCTCGAGTAGTTCTACCCTTGCACATAGCTCGCCTTTATCCCAATCGATTACCAGTAAAAATCAGTGGCTTGGACTGGCCAGCACCTTTTACGGTTGCACCAGCATTGGTCATCCTGGCCCCTGCTTTGTGTCTGTCTTAGTTCTGTCTCTTAGATTTTTGTTTTTCTCAGACCTATGCATGGTATATTGGGCAGGAAACTGGAACCTAACTGCAGGGGTCTCCAGTAGAAGCCACATGGTGCCAGATCTGGTGAATGAGATGGATGAGGCCATGTCGTCATTATGACCCTGCCATTCTGTTGGATGGCACTTGGCAGACTCATTCACTACATTTTTGATCAACCTTTTAAAGACACAAAACAAGACATCCAGAAGAGCATCAGAAGATGGCAAGAATGGTGGGATAATTGTGTTCAAGCAGGAAGGAGGATATTTGGGGTGGGAGTAAAGGCAATGTGTTTTTATTACAATAAATTTTATTTAAACTCTGTTTTTGATGAGCCCTTGTAAAATGTTGTAGTATCTGCACATAACTTATGTGCATCCTCCTATATACTTTAAATCTCCTTTAAATCTAATGCAACATATCTGCCATGTAAGTAAGTGTTTTACTGTATCCTTAAAGGAATAATAACAAGAAAAAAGATCTCTACATGTTCAATACAGATGTAATTGTTTTCCCAGATATTTTCAATCCATAGGTGGTTGGATCCCTAGATTTGGAGCCATGAATACAAAGGGTTGATTGTATTTTTCCTGCAAGGGTCACAGTGGTAAGTGACTAGCCCAAGTTCACATGACTACTAAGTAGCAAGGCCGTTGTTCAAACCCAATTTGAAATCCATTCACCAAAAGAGGCTGCTAATTATCACAACTGTACCGGCTTATGAAGCACTTGATGAACTCTCCG